AGCCTTCCCTGGACCCAGATGTATTGGCTAACTATCGCCCAGTCTCCAACCTTCGCTTTGTGGCGAAGGTTGTTGAGAGTGTGGTTGCACAGCAATTCCCTCGGCACCTGGAGGAAACAGTCTATCTGGACCCTCTCCAGTTGGGCTTCAGGCCGGGATACAGCACGGAAACGGCATTGGTCACGTTGGTGAATGATCTCTGGAGGGCCCGGGACAGGGGTTATTCTTCTGTCCTAGTTCTTTTGGACCTCTCAGCGGCTTTTGATACTGTGGACCACAGTATCATGCTGCGGCGTTTGGGTGAGTTGGGAGTGGGAGGCACTGTTATGCGGTGGTTCTCCTCCTTCCTCACCGACCGTACGCAGTCTGTATTGGCAGGGGGACAGAGGTCGACTCCAAGGCCCCTAACTTGTGGTCGGTCCTCTCTCCGCTTCTGTTCAATATTTATGTGAAGCCGCTGGGGGAGATCATCCGTGGCTTTGGGGTGGACTTCCATCAGTACGCTGATGATACTCAGCTGTACATTTCCACCCCGGGCCACCCCAATGATGCCCTTGACGTGATGACCCAGTGTCTGGAGGCCGTAAGGGTCTGGATGGGGAGAAACAGACTCAGGCTCAACCGAGTGGCTGTGGCTACCGGCGCCTCGGCATAGTCAGCTGATTCCATCGCTGACTATAGGGGGCGAAACTTTGGCTCCCTCGGAAAGGGTACGCAATCTGGGTGTCCTCCTGGACCCACGGCTGACACTGGAAGACCAGTTGGCGGCCGTGACCAGGGGGGCGTTCTATCAGGTACGCCTGATCCACCAGTTGCAACCTTTTCTGGACCGGGACGCCTTGCGCACAGTCACCCATGCCCTTGTCACCTCCCGCCTGGACTACTGCAACGCTCTCTACAAGGGGCTCCCCTTGAGGAGCACCCGGAGGCTCCAGTTAGTCCAAAATGTGGCCGCGCGGGCGGTGTTGGGAGGGACTCGTCGCTCCCATGTAACACCGCTGCTGCGCGAGCTGCACTGGCTGCCGGTGGCTTTCCGGGTGCGCTTCAAGGTGCTGACCATCATCTTTAAAGCGCTCCATGGCATCGGACCTGGATATCTTCGAGACCGCCTCCTGCCGCAGATTACCTCCCATCGGCCTGTACGCTCCCACAGAGTGGGTCTCCTCAGGGTGCCGTCGGCCAGACAGTGCCGGCTGGCGACCCCAAGGGGAAGGGCCTTCTCGGTGGGAGCTCCCACCCTCTGGAATGAACTACCCCCAGAGATCAGGGTGATCCCTGATCTCCCTTCCTTCCGCCGCGCCCTTAAGACATGGTTATTTCAGCTTGCAGGACTGGCCTAGGGGAAATTTTTAGCGGGGGTTTTAAAATATTTTTAAATTACTTAGGCCAATTGTTAATATTTGTCTTTTAATTATGTTTTAACTGTAGTATTTGGTATTTTGTAGTTGTTTTATCTGGTTGTTAGCCGCCCTGAGTCCGCAAGGAGAAGGGCGGGATATAAATATAATAAACATAACAAACATAACATAACAAATAT